AGAGAGAGAGAGACTGACAAAATAGGGGGTTGGGGTTAGTATGGGCGGTATCGTCGAGATCATCATGTTCATCGCGCTCATCACGCGCGAGAACACGGCCAGCGTGGACTATGTCCAGGTCATCCAGGCTGCTATCCTCGGCTCGGTGCTGGCAACCATGCTACTGTGTCTTGGGCTGTGCTTTATCGCCGGCGGGATTAAGCGTGAGGAGACACACTTCAGTGAGGCCGTCAGCGAGGCAGGAAGCGGCCTGTTGCTTACCGCGTAAGCCACTTTTCCTTTTCCCTTTCCCTTTCCATTTTCCTCTCCTCCCCCCTTTTTCACTCGGTATTAACCCTCTTGTGATAGTGGCTTCGGCCTCGCCGTCCCAACCGTCTTCGAGCACTCCCTCTCAGGCAAAATCACCGACACGGACGAGCTCCTCTCCAAAACAATTGACATCTCCCGCAGCACCGCCATCCTCCTGATCGTTGCCTACTTCGTCTACATCTTCTTCCAAGCGCGCACCCACCACGGCATCTACGACGCCGTCTTTCACGACGACGAGCAGCGCGACGACGACCGTCACAAAGAGTCCGCTAAGCATCGGTTGACGCTCACAGAGTGCTGCATCGCGCTGGCCGTATCGATTACCCTCGTGACGATCATCGCTATTGCGCTGGTCGATCAAATCCACTATATCGTCGAGGAGAGACATGTGTCGGATGCCTTCGTCGGTCTGATCTTGGTCCCGCTGGTCGAGAAGGCGGCGGAGCATTTGACCGCTGTCGACGAGGCGTATGATAACCAGATGAACTTTGCGCTGTCCCACGTGCTGGGTGCCACATTACAGACTGCCCTCTTCAACGCCCCCTTCGCCGTGCTTGTCGGCTGGGGGCTGGACAAGCCGATGGGGTTGAACTTCGAAGTGTTCGATCTGGTGGTATTGCTGTTGGCGATTATCACCGTAGGGAATTTCCTGAGGGATCAGAAGAGTAATTATCTCGAAGGTGTGCTGTGTGTGATTGTGTATATCTCGATTGCGGTGGCGGCGATTCATTATCCGAATCCGCATGAGATTAATGGGGCTCATGGGGCGACGACAGCGACGGGGGAGCATCATTAGACTTTGAGGGGATTAGGTGATTATTTTGAGATCCTTAAGGTTTTGTTT